TTACACGCGCGTGACCGCTGCCTATCAATCCCCGTCCGGCGATCTCACGGTGTTCGTAGATAATTTGATATACTTGGTTCAATATCCGGAATTTAGTCTGCGGCCAGGTTGGTCGAAGACCCTGCAAGAACTCGGATTTCCCGAAAACGCGCTGATCAACGGAGTGGTGAACACCCACAGAGGACGTTTCTACGTGGTGTTCAACGGTAACGCGGTGGGCGAGATAGACGAATGCGACCAGGACAAGAGAGTCGCCAAATTCACGCCCCTCGAGGCGACGTTTCCCGGAATACCGAAAGGCGTGACGTCGATATTTCGCTACATCGACGGCAATCTGTACTTCACCACTCGGTCGCAGTTCTACAAATTCAACGAATTTACGAGGACCGTCTCGTCGGCCGGTAAATTCGATCTGCGGATATTGAATATCGTCTGCCCTAAGGCCGAACTGCTGCAGCAGTTGCGCGATCTCCTCGATCGAATCGTACGCCTCAACGATAACTCGCTAACGTCGGCGAGCGATTATTGGAACGATGACGACACCGGAGTTCGGCTCTCCGATTTCCGCATCCGCCGAAGGAAGTAGACTACCGCGCAAATTTTCCACACCGCGCCACGCGCGACATAAGTCAAATCTTTCCTACTTATACCGACGTGTCCCTTCCAAGGCATCAGTGTCGCGTCGTCGGCCGAATACGACGCGTCGGAAAAAAAATCAGAAAGGAACGGTTACCGGCGGAAAGGAACATTTTGGTTAACGGCGCGAAATGTTCTCGACGTTGGCCGATCGACCCGCGCCGAGGAGTATTTCTCCTACGGAGACGGCGGATTCGGAGGCGAACGACAACGGCAATAAAAGACGGAGGATCAGTTTGATGGACGATCGCCATTATCTTCCTCGTCGCCAGGAATCGCGTCGCAGCTCTCATCCTCCAACCGACGCGCCCGTCGAGGACGATCGTCGTCGTCATCATCAGGAGTTTCGTTCCAACTTTCCCGTCGAATTGCCTCCTATGCGCATTCTGACGACGCGTTATCTGCTGACGACGACTGGCTACAAGTACATAGCCATAGGTATCACGATCAAGACATCGTGGTACAGTCTTCATACCACGCCTTCGTACGTGGATATCGCCCTGGGGGACAAACAAGGAAGGGAAATCTCCCTGACGCTCGACATGTGGAAAGGACTGATCGAGCGCAAACGCGACGTATTGTCGTGCATGGAACGCGCTCTTTCCGACGTAACTCACCCCCCCCCTCGCCGATGTCGATCGGAGGGATGACAATGCGATTCGGAGTGATCAACAACGGGCCGATCGTACGTATAGAGCTACCCAACCTGGCTCGCGTGGCGATGGTGCGCACAACCCTGCTCAAGCTGTACAATCTCCAATTTTGCGTGGATCGCGTCATCCGTGCGCTGAGCGCGGCGACCGAGGAGGTCGACGCTAAGTTTTTGCGCTATCGGGAGATAGCCGCCGCCGCGATGAAAATGGAAACTTCGATTCAGCCTGAGATACAGAAGAGCGGTTTCTTCGATCCTGACAACATCGTCGACTGCGAGATAGCCGCGCTATGTTTCGACTCCTTATAACGATGTCGCGTCTACGAAATGCATATATTCGCGCGAGCGAAACAATGTAAACGCGCTTGTATTATTTTTTGAATAAAAAAAAAATTATATGCTTATCTCATCTGTGCACTCTCTCCGTTTCCCCCTTTTTTCCCAAATCCGTATACCCATCTCCGCGATCGCAACGCCGAGTTCGAACGCGCGTTACATATATTATCGCGAATCATAAATTACAGGTCGAACGCGAGGTGAATAAAAAAATTATCGCGAACGAAGAGACGAGTCGTCTGACCGCGCTTACCCCCCGCGGTCGCGGCGATCGCGATGCCGAGTTCGAACGCGCGTTACATAAATTATCGCGAATCGCGAATCGCGGGTCGAACGCGAGGTAAATGAAAAATTGTCGCGAACGAAGAGACGAGTCGTCTCGCTCGTTCTCTCTCTCGACGCGTCGCGTCGGGGTCGGGCGGGACGAAAGGAGGAAAACCGCGAGACGAGACCAAATTGGGAAACGACGAGAGCGACCGCGACGCCGAATTCGAACGCGCGTTACATAAATTATCGCGAATCGCGAATCGCAGGTCGAACGCGAGGTGAATAAAAAAAATTGTCGCGCGTCGATCGAACGACT